GACTCAAAAGTCACCCCGACCCGTGTTTTGAGTCGACTCAAAAGTCACCCCGACCCGTGTTTTGAGTCGACTCAAAAGTCACCCCGACCCGTGTTTTGAGTCGACTCAAAAGTCACCCCGACCCGTTTGTTGAGTCGACTCAAAAGTCACCCCGACCCGTGTTTTGAGTCGACTCAAAAGTCACCCCGACCCGTGTTTTGAGTCGACTCAAAAGTCACCCCGACCCGTGTTTTGAGTCGACTCAACAGTCACCCTGACCCGTGTTTTGAGTCGACTCAACAGTCACCCCGACCCGTGTTTTGAGTCGACTCAAAAGTCACCCCGACCCGTGTTTTGAGTCGACTCAAAAGTCACCCCGACCCGTGTTTTGAGTCGACTCAAAAGTCACCCTGGCCCGTGTTTTGAGTCGACTCAAAAGTCACCCCGACCCGTGTTTTGAGTCGACTCAAAGTCACCCTGACCCGTGTTTTGAGTCGACTCAACAGTCACCCCGACCCGTGTTTTGAGTCGACTCAAAAGTCACCCTGACCCGTGTTTTGAGTCGACTCAAAAGTCACCCCGACCCGTGTTTTGAGTCGACTCAAAAGTCACCCCGACCCGTGTTTTGAGTCGACTCAAAAGTCACCCCGACCCGTGTTTTGAGTCGACTCAAAAGTCACCCCGACCCGTGTTTTGAGTCGACTCAAAAGTCACCCCGACCCGTGTTTTGAGTCGACTCAAAAGTCACCCCGACCCGTGTTTTGAGTCGATTCAAAAGTCACCCCGACCCGTGTTTTGAGTCGACTCAAAAGTCACCCCGACCCGTGTTTTGAGTCGACTCAAAAGTCACCCCGACCCGTGTTTTGAGTCGACTCAAAAGTCACCCCGACCCGTTTGTTGAGTCGACTCAAAAGTCACCCCGACCCGTGTTTTGAGTCGATTCAAAAGTCGCCCCGACCCGTGTTTTGAGTCGACTCAAAAGTCACCCCGACCCGTGTTTTGAGTCGACTCAAAAGTCACCCCGACCCGTGTTTTGAGTCGACTCAAAAGTCACCCCGACCCGTGTTTTGAGTCGACTCAAAAGTCACCCCGACCCGTGTTTTGAGTCGACTCAAAAGTCACCCCGACCCGTGTTTTGAGTCGACTCAAAAGTCACCCCGACCCGTGTTTTGAGTCGACTCAAAAGTCACCCCGACCCGTGTTTTGAGTCGACTCAAAAGTCACCCCCGACCCGTGTTTTGAGTCGACTCAACAGTCACCCCGACCCGTGTTTTGAGTCGACTCAAAAGTCACCCCGACCCGTGTTTTGAGTCGACTCAAAAGTCACCCCGACCCGTGTTTTGAGTCGACTCAAAAGTCACCCCGACCCGTGTTTTGAGTCGACTCAAAAGTCACCCCGACCCGTTTGTTGAGTCGACTCAAAAGTCACCCCGACCCGTTTGTTGAGTCGACTCAAAAGTCACCCCGACCCGTGTTTTGAGTCGACTCAAAAGTCACCCCGACCCGTGTTTTGAGTCGACTCAAAGTCACCCTGACCCGTGTTTTGAGTCGACTCAACAGTCACCCCGACCCGTGTTTTGAGTCGACTCAAAAGTCACCCTGACCCGTGTTTTGAGTCGACTCAAAAGTCACCCCGACCCGTGTTTTGAGTCGACTCAAAAGTCACCCCGACCCGTGTTTTGAGTCGACTCAACAGTCACCCCGACCCGTGTTTTGAGTCGACTCAAAAGTCACCCCGACCCGTGTTTTGAGTCGACTCAAAAGTCACCCCGACCCGTGTTTTGAGTCGACTCAAAAGTCACCCCGACCCGTGTTTTGAGTCGACTCAAAAGTCACCCCGACCCGTTTGTTGAGTCGACTCAAAAGTCACCCCGACCCGTTTGTTGAGTCGACTCAAAAGTCACCCCGACCCGTGTTTTGAGTCGACTCAAAAGTCACCCCGACCCGTGTTTTGAGTCGACTCAAAGTCACCCTGACCCGTGTTTTGAGTCGACTCAACAGTCACCCCGACCCGTGTTTTGAGTCGACTCAAAAGTCACCCTGACCCGTGTTTTGAGTCGACTCAAAAGTCACCCCGACCCGTGTTTTGAGTCGACTCAAAAGTCACCCCGACCCGTGTTTTGAGTCGACTCAAAATTCACCCCGACCCGTGTTTTGAGTCGACTCAAAAGTCACCCTGGCCCGTGTTTTGAGTCGACTCAAAAGTCACCCCGACCCGTGTTTTGAGTCAACTCAAAGTCACCCCGACCCGTGTTTTGAGTCGACTCAACAGTCACCCCGACCCGTGTTTTGAGTCGACTCAAAAGTCACCCTGACCCGTGTTTTGAGTCGACTCAAAAGTCACCCCGACCCGTGTTTTGAGTCGACTCAAAAGTCACCCCGACCCGTGTTTTGAGTCGACTCAAAAGTCACCCCGACCCGTGTTTTGAGTCGACTCAAAAGTCACCCCGACCCGTGTTTTGAGTCGACTCAAAAGTCACCCTGGCCCGTGTTTTGAGTCGACTCAAAAGTCACCCCGACCCGTGTTTTGAGTCGACTAAAAGTCACCCTGACCCGTGTTTTGAGTCGACTCAACAGTCACCCCGACCCGTGTTTTGAGTCGACTCAAAAGTCACCCTGACCCGTGTTTTGAGTCGACTCAAAAGTCACCCCGACCCGTGTTTTGAGTCGACTCAAAAGTCACCCCGACCCGTGTTTTGAGTCGACTCAAAAGTCACCCCGACCCGTGTTTTGAGTCGACTCAAAAGTCACCCCGACCCGTGTTTTGAGTCGACTCAAAAGTCACCCCGACCCGTGTTTTGAGTCGATTCAAAAGTCACCCCGACCCGTGTTTTGAGTCGACTCAAAAGTCACCCCGACCCGTGTTTTGAGTCGACTCAAAAGTCACCCCGACCCGTGTTTTGAGTCGACTCAAAAGTCACCCCGACCCGTTTGTTGAGTCGACTCAAAAGTCACCCCGACCCGTGTTTTGAGTCGATTCAAAAGTCGCCCCGACCCGTGTTTTGAGTCGACTCAAAAGTCACCCCGACCCGTGTTTTGAGTCGACTCAAAAGTCACCCCGACCCGTGTTTTGAGTCGACTCAAAAGTCACCCCGACCCGTGTTTTGAGTCGACTCAAAAGTCACCCCGACCCGTGTTTTGAGTCGACTCAAAAGTCACCCCGACCCGTGTTTTGAGTCGACTCAAAAGTCACCCCGACCCGTGTTTTGAGTCGACTCAAAAGTCACCCCGACCCGTGTTTTGAGTCGACTCAAAAGTCACCCCGACCCGTGTTTTGAGTCGACTCAACAGTCACCCCGACCCGTGTTTTGAGTCGACTCAAAAGTCACCCCGACCCGTGTTTTGAGTCGACTCAAAAGTCACCCCGACCCGTGTTTTGAGTCGACTCAAAAGTCACCCCGACCCGTGTTTTGAGTCGACTCAAAAGTCACCCCGACCCGTTTGTTGAGTCGACTCAAAAGTCACCCCGACCCGTGTTTTGAGTCGACTCAAAAGTCACCCCGACCCGTGTTTTGAGTCGACTCAAAGTCACCCTGACCCGTGTTTTGAGTCGACTCAACAGTCACCCCGACCCGTGTTTTGAGTCGACTCAAAAGTCACCCTGACCCGTGTTTTGAGTCGACTCAAAAGTCACCCCGACCCGTGTTTTGAGTCGACTCAAAAGTCACCCCGACCCGTGTTTTGAGTCGACTCAAAATTCACCCCGACCCGTGTTTTGAGTCGACTCAAAAGTCACCCTGGCCCGTGTTTTGAGTCGACTCAAAAGTCACCCCGACCCGTGTTTTGAGTCGACTCAAAGTCACCCCGACCCGTGTTTTGAGTCGACTCAACAGTCACCCCGACCCGTGTTTTGAGTCGACTCAAAAGTCACCCTGACCCGTGTTTTGAGTCGACTCAAAAGTCACCCCGACCCGTGTTTTGAGTCGACTCAAAAGTCACCCCGACCCGTGTTTTGAGTCGACTCAAAAGTCACCCCGACCCGTGTTTTGAGTCGACTCAAAAGTCACCCCGACCCGTGTTTTGAGTCGACTCAAAAGTCACCCCGACCCGTGTTTTGAGTCGACTCAAAAGTCACCCCGACCCGTGTTTTGAGTCGACTCAAAAGTCACCCCGACCCGTGTTTTGAGTCGACTCAAAAGTCACCCCGACCCGTGTTTTGAGTCGACTCAAAAGTCACCCCGACCCGTGTTTTGAGTCGACTCAAAAGTCACCCCGACCCGTGTTTTGAGTCGACTCAAAAGTCACCCCGACCCGTGTTTTGAGTCGACTCAAAAGTCACCCCGACCCGTGTTTTGAGTCGACTCAAAAGTCACCCCGACCCGTGTTTTGAGTCGACTCAAAAGTCACCCCGACCCGTGTTTTGAGTCGACTCAAAAGTCACCCCGACCCGTGTTTTGAGTCGACTCAAAAGTCACCCCGACCCGTGTTTTGAGTCGACTCAAAAGTCACCCCGACTTGTGTTTTGAGTCGATTCAAAAGTCACCCCGACCCGTGTTTTGAGTCGACTCAAAAGTCACCCCGACCCGTGTTTTGAGTCGACTCAAAAGTCACCCCGACCCGTGTTTTGAGTCGACTCAAAAGTCACCCCGACCCGTTTGTTGAGTCGACTCAAAAGTCACCCCGACCCGTGTTTTGAGTTGATTCAAAAGTCGCCCCGACCCGTGTTTTGAGTCGACTCAAAAGTCACCCCGACCCGTGTTTTGAGTCGACTCAAAAGTCACCCCGACCCGTGTTTTGAGTCGACTCAAAAGTCACCCCGACCCGTGTTTTGAGTCGACTCAAAAGTCACCCCGACCCGTTTGTTGAGTCGACTCAAAAGTCACCCCGACCCGTGTTTTGAGTCGACTCAAAAGTCACCCCGACCCGTGTTTTGAGTCGACTCAAAAGTCACCCCGACCCGTGTTTTGAGTCGACTCAAAAGTCACCCCGACCCGTGTTTTGAGTCGACTCAAAACACGACAGTATAGATGTACTTGCTGCTGCCGACCAACTGGGTTCCCAGCAGAGGGAGACAGAGAAGATTACAGTGTGACTCTGCAGCACAGATTGGCAGACAAGTGGAGTCCCTGTGGGAAGGCACACACAGAGGTGATGGGATGGATCACCTGAGGAAAGAGGTGATGGCAGGGGTCATGATGAAGTGGCGTCGCTGTTGTTCCTGCCGGCCCAAACCACGCATTGCCAAAAAACTGTTCTTGAGGCGCCTGAAAGGTCAGGAGAATCTCAATCTCACCTGGGCAAAGAGGTCATGGCTGGCAGGGGCCGTGATGCAGTGCAGTGGCGTCGCTGTTGTTCCTGCCGGCCCAAACCAAACCACGCAATGCTGAGACACTGTTCTTGAGGCGCCTGAGAACGTCAATAGAAGCTCACCTGAGCGAAGAGATTATGGCAGGGGTCGTGATGCAGTGGTGTCACTGTTGTGCCTGCCGGACCAAACCACGCATTGCCAAGAAACTGTTCTTGAGGTGAGGCGTGTGACAGGCCAGGAGAATCTCAATCTCACGGTCTCACCTGAGCGAAGAGGTTATGACAGGGATCGTGGTGGAGTGGTGTCACTGTCCCTGCCGGCCCAAACCATGCATTCACCACCGGATCTCCCTCCTCCCCTTCCTCCTCTCCCTCCTCCTCCCCACCCCCCACCTTATCCCTCTCCTTGTCCTCTTTGCTCTCCCCCTCCCCTTCCTCCTCTCCCTCCTCCTCCCCAACCCCCACCTTATCCCTCTCCTTGTCCTCTTTGCTCTCCTCCTCTCTACCTTCCACATTTTCCAGCTTGCCTCGACCTCCTTCTGAATCATCACTATCACTATTTCTGCCACACGCATCACCCCTAGGAGAGGACCTATCACCCATGCTTGCAGTGCGAGCGGGCTTTTGCGGAGAGGCGTGAGAGGGAGGGCTCGATCTGAGAGAGTGAGAGTGGGGAGCAGGAGCGGTGAGCCAGCAGTACGGGGGAATGTCGATGTCTGCACGGAGAATGGGGATCTGAAAAAGGGCGAGAGGTGAAAGGGGCAAAGAAGGAGAAGACAGGAAAAACGGAGGGAGACAAGGGGCATGGAAAGAGGAGCAACAAGAGTACATCAGATCACAGATTGTTAGTGTTGTTCAGAACGGCGGCATGAATCAGCATCGATTCGTAACGCGACCCAGAAGTCAGAAACGCAAACACTATGTCAGAAACGCAATATATGGGATGGAAATTGGAATCTAACATAGTGGGGAGGAGAAGGTCGAGTTGGCATTCGCGGAGTCAATGAATTCTTTGAGGTTGGATGAAACTAGGCACTCCCCTCCCGTCCGTCTACAACGCACAAAACAAAGTGGCCTCACGCATTTATGGCTTCACAGAGCACGACGGCGTCTCAGAACGGCTCCGTCGGAATTCTTTCTTTCGTGTAGTTTCATTTCATTTATGGCTTCACAGAGCACTATCCAGAAACACACAAGGGTCTCGACGGCGTCTCAAAACGGCTCGAGATATCGAGTCGGGAGAAGAATCACCTCGTAAATGGCAAGAAGTAGCCATAGAGAGAGATGCCATTGAGACCCTTATGTACATGGAGGTGACTTTTGAGTCGCCTCAAAAGTCACCCTTATGTACATGGATGGCTGGAACTTGTACAGTTCAAAGGTTGCAAACAGTTGAGTGAGTATTGAGTTGACCCACCTGTTCAAACAGTGTGTGCTGTGCGAGGTACCCTATCCTCTCCTCCCCTTGCTCCTCTCCCCCACTTTGTGTCGTGTGACATTGTAACGAGGTGACTTTTGAGTCGACTCAAAAATGACCCACCTGTTCAAACAGTGTGTGCTGTGCGAGGTACCCTATCCTCTCATCCCCTTGCTCCTCTCCCCCACTTTCCTCCTCCTCCTTCTCCTCCTTCTCCTCCCCCTCTTGCTCCTGCTGTTGCGACGATCCCTTCCCTTTCTGCTCCTTCCCTCTCCTGCTCCCTCCTGCCTTCCCCTGCTCGCCCCTGCTGCTGCCACGTGGCACTCCCACTCTGAGCACGTGCCGGTCAATAAAGTCAGCGAGAGTCATGAGCTCCTGCGTCCACCCCTCCGCCAGATAGCTGCTTCCCATCTGAACGTGAACGCGCAGTAGGAGAGGAGTTAACGGAACGAGGGGAGATGGGAGATGGGGAATGGGGGGAATGGGGGATGGGGGATGGAGATGGGGGATGGGGGGTGTGGTAGGAGGAGTGTGTGAGAAGCAGGGGGGTTGGGTCCTGAGCTCCTGAACCCACCCTTCTGCCAAATAGCTGCTGCCCACTGCACAAGTAAGTAGCACGACAGACAGTCTCATCAGTTGTCTGGGGAAAGTTGCGTTGAATTTTGAGGCGCCTCAAAATTCAACTCAAATAGCTGCTGCCCACTGCACAAGTAAGTAGCACGATAGACAGTCTCATCAGTTGTCTGGGGAAACGTTGCTGCGGCGCCGTCTCTTTCGTTGGCCGGAAGTTAGTGCTCGAGACCTGAAGCCTGCACCTGCTTCTGCTTCTGCCCCGCCCTCGTCCCCACACCCCCCCCCTTACCCCCATTCCTCCCTCCCACCCCTCCCCCGCCCCCCACCCTGTTGTTGCGCTCACCTCAACAGGCACGGTGCGGCCTCCAGCAAAGTGACTTTTGAGTCTACTCAAAAGTCACCTCGACTCAAAAGTCACCTCGACTCAAAAGTCACCTCGACTCAAAAGTCACATCAACAGGTACAGTCCTGCCTCCAGCCACGCGCTTCAGATACCCCCAGTCCCTCCACCGCTTCACAGCAGGCCAGTGGGCGATGGCTCCTGTCAGCACCACCGGCACGCCTGGTTTCATGTAGCTCTGCAGAAACCGCTCCAGAGAGGGCAGGTGCGCGCGGGGCATGGGGAGGGATGTGAAGGAATGGGGTGGGAGGGGGATTGGCGGGTCTGGGGAGGTGGTGCGGGGAGTTAGGGGGTGGTGAGGGGTTGGGGGAGAGAGATTGGGTGGTTTGTGGGGTGGGGTTTCTTGTGTGTTGATGTGGTTTGTTGTGTTGGGTTGCTGCTCTCTCCCTCGCTGTTGTTGCCGCTGCTGCTGCTGCTGTTGCTGTTGTTGCCGCTGCTGCTGCTCCTCCTTCTCCTGCTGTTGATCCTCCCCACGTTTCTCCTCCTCCTCCCCATCCCCCCTCTCGCCTCCCCTTTCCGCCTCCCCATCTCTCCCATCTCCCCCAATCCCCCCATCGCTCCCCCCCACCCTGGCCTCCATCTCCCCCACAGCAGCATTGATAGCCGCGCGGAACAAGTTACCTCCCAGCATAAGCCCCAGGTCCAATAGCCTCAGACAGGCAGGTAGAGAGCGGTTGGAGGTGGTGGTGCCAACAGAAGCAGCTGTAGAAGCAACGTTAGCAGTGGCCATGGCGAGGCATGTGAGGGCGTACGCGTCGCGCCATGCCACGTGGACGTCCTTCCATGGGCCGCCGTGGATGTGCTCCCATGCCAGCTCATGCACGGCCACCAATAGCGTGTCCGCGTTGGACGCACCGCCAGCATCGCCATCCCCATTAGGACCAGCATGGGAATCACTAGAAGCAGTAGCAGCAGCAGCAGCATCAACCGCCCTCTCCTCCCTCCCTTCCCGCTCCTCCCTCTCCTCTAGTCTCTCCCCATCGTGGTTCCTTCTCCCGTACTCCCCCACCTCTCCGCTCCCCCCTTCCGCCGCCTCTCTCTTCCGCCTCTTCCGCTCCCTCCCCTCTCCGCGCTCCCCCCCATCCCTTTCTCCAGACCAATCCCCACCCATACCCTTCCCCCGCGTATCATCGTCCCCCTGGCTTCCCCTGACCTCTTTAGATGTTCTGCCAGCCTCGTCTATACCCTTTCGCCTTTCCCTCCCACTTCCCCCCGCCGCTCGCGCCCCGTTCCCATTCCGCTCATCTGCGCAGAACCCCCACTTTGCGCGCAGAGACTCCGCTAGCAGCGCGGCGCACGTGCGCCCCCCGCACGTGCGGAGAAGACGCAACAGCTCCCGCACGCTCTCCTCGTCTACCCGTTGCCTTAAATCCATAACTGCGGCAATGCACGTGTCAGATTACTCAAGAGGCTTATTGGCTGCAAAAAGCCGCTGGCGTGTTGATACAAGAGACAATGCGTTGCAAGTTAGAAGTAAGGGATCAAGGCAGGACACACTATGAGTCCATGATGACTGTAAATGCGCACAATCCTGGGGAAATTTGTACGCGAAGAATGGAGTATAAATGGTGCTTCGATACCGGTATAAGGAGATAAAGCTCCCAACAGATTAAACCTCAAACCAGAAAAATGCTAAAGGGTTTTGCTAAAGATGGTCGATAGATAAATACCAAGTGTTTCCATGTTCTCATTGGTATAAAATAAGCGTACATCACATGATCCTAGACCGAAGGAGGAAAAAGGGAAAGAGAGACATAAATGAAGGAGAAGGGAGGTGGAGAAGGAAAGGGAGAAGGAAATTAAAACTGCCAAAAAGGTATGCAAAAAGGAAAGTAAATACTAAGTCTGGTGTGAGAACATTTCAAATGCATCTTGTAGGTATGCAAATCCAAACTACCATACATTGTACAGCAATCATAGTCTCGTCTCAACCACTTCGTACCCGCTATTATCTCACTGCGTCGACGCTAATAGCTTCCCGAAGAATCGCACTTCACCCCCGCTTCCCCCTCTTTTACGTATTTCCTCCCTCCCCTCAACTCAATCCCTCCCCAAGCTACCAGTACCCCTCAGACACCATTTGCACCCAGCGGAAAAGTCGTTCATTCCGCCTGACACAGATGGATGGGATGGGATCATCCTAGGGATTTCCTCGCTCCTGCATTGTGTCTGTTGTCGCTGATTGGTTTGTGCTGAGATCAGCTGCGCACTTCACGGGAAACTAACTTGCGCCAATCAGCATCGTCTCACGGTGTGCAGAGCGCCGGCCTCCCGTCCTGTGTCCGACCCGATCCGACACAAAGAGCCAGAAGAAGCATAACCAGAGACACGTCTTTTGTGCCTATCCATCCAGCCGTCTGATTTAACCCACCGTCACCGCGTGCATCTCGATCTGAGCTTCACTGAGCTTCGCAATCGGTCGTCGCGGCGGGATTCGTGGCAGCGGCTGTTGCGAAATCGTGGCCGTCGCTGGACAGGGCGGGCGATCGCTGCGCGCTCCACGACTGGCGTCGTGTCAATCTCTCAATCCACCGTTTTATCGCATTCAGCCACTGCTAGACAAGCGAACGAATCCTGTAGATTCGCTTGGATTTGTTGCACATGCAAATCGTCGAAAGACTAGTAGACCAATCTAAAGCATCTAGTCCGCAATCGCCGGAGTCCACTGAGAATTGCTCGACCGAAGATCCCTAATTAATCTTATCCTCTTGGCCGCAGTCACGGTTTCTTTAATTGCTTCTCCCACTGCTGCCTTCCATATCCCTTTTCCGACGGCATTGGCGTTCGCTGCGTAGATTTCATTCATTCGCTGTTTAAGCTACTTCACCTGTTGAGAGTCTCGTCAAGTCAATCGGGTCCTTCAGCAGCGACACGTGGCCTGGTCTGCGCTCTTACCAGAATTCGCCTATCCGTCGTTCTATTTCGCTCACTGCTCGTTTTTGTTCGCCAACCAATCGCTCCAATTCGCCAACCAGTTGTTTCAACCAGCCGGGTGTAGGCGGAGTCGTGAGGATCCTCACAACACTTCTTCCGCGTCTTCCGCTCCTTCCGCCGACCGCGCCAATCCGCTTCCGCCATGCGGGGAGGCCAGAAGCGCCCGTCCGCCGCAGGCGGAACGGTGCGGGGGGAGACGGCGATGGGGACGCTATTCATCCTCATCCTCCTCGCTATAGTCGGCTTCGCTGCAACGTACAGTGTGCTCTCCGCGCTCTCCCCGCCGCCCTCCATCCTGGTCGACGACGATCTGTTACTGGAGGTGAGTATTCGTGTGTGTGTTGGGTCACCTTGGCTCTATTCTTGAGGCTCCATTCTTGAGGCGCCTCAAACATAGACTTACTCTCCCCGCCGCCCTCCATCCTCGTCGACGACGATCTGCTACTGGAGGTGATTTTTATTTTTGGGCAACTTGGGCTCTTCTGAGTGTACATTTTCACGGGCACCTTCATTTTCCTTGGCTTTTATTATTATTATTGAATTTTGGGCGGGGGGAGTGGGGAGGGGTGGTGGCGGGGTGGGAAAGGTGTGAGATGGTTTTTTTTTTAAGGCGTCGCTGAGAAACAGCACTGCCTGTCGTCCCGTGGGGCTTGACTCTTAAACTCAGCTCTGGACGAGGAGGGGGAAGAGAAGCTAGTTAGGAGTTGAGGGGTTGGGCTTGGGGGTGCTGTGCGGGTTTGTTGGTGTCGGTTGAACCGTATGCTCCCCCCCTATCTCCCCACCCCACTCCCCTGCTCCCTCCCCCCACAACACCCCTCCCTAACACCCCCTCCTCCCCGTTCGCCGCAAATTGCCTCAATCTCTTATTCACGTACTCCCCTTTCCATCCCCTTTCGCTTGCCCTTCCTGATGCCCTCCCCCTTCCCCTTCCCCTTCCCCTTCCCCTTCCCCTCCCTCTTCCCCTTCCCCTTCCCCTTCCCCTTCCTCTTCCCCTTCCCCTCCTTCCCCTTCGCCTTCCCCTTCCCCTCCCCCTTCCCCTCCCTCTTCCCCTTCCCCTCCCCCTCCCTCTCCCCCTCCCCCTCCTTTTCCCCCCGCCCCTTCCACTTCCCCCTCCGCTTACCCTCCCGTTTCCCCTTCCCCGCAGGCCACTTCCCCGTCCGACTCTGAAGCAGGAGCAACCACAGGCGCGGGCGCGCAGGGGGGGAGCAGCAGCACTGGCGCGGGGGGAGCGGGGGAGGGCGCGTCAGGGGGCGGGGGGGAGGATTCGCGGGATTTCTGCCTGGGGGAGGAGCATCTGGAGCTGTGGGGGGATGCGGTGAAGTGGGGGAGCAATAACCCCACTGATACTGCTGCCGCGTGCTGCCAGCAGTGCAAGTGAGCACAGGGGAAGGGGTGGAGGGATTTGGTTGGGCGTGGGGATGGGGGAGGTGAGGGGAGGGAAAAAAGGGGGGTGGGGAAATGGGTGGGAGCGATAACCCCACTGATACTGCTGCCGCCTGCTGCCAGCAGTGCAAGTGAGCGCAGGGGGGAATGAGCGGGGATCGGGGAGTTGGGGGGACGGGGGGAGGGGGGATGCGGTGAAGTGGGGAGATATTGCTGCCGCCTGCTGCCAGCAGTGCAAGTGAGCGCACGGGGGTGGGAGAGCGGGGATATTGGGGAGTGGGGAGGGGAAAAACGGGAATGGGGGAAGGAGGCAGGGAGGTGGGAGGGGGGAATGCAACAGCGGGTCTGCACTCGTGCTGGTGCATTCTGGCAGCAGAGCGAGCGAGCGATAAGGCAGGGAGGGGGGCACTGGCAGGGGTGGTGGTGGCGGACCGGTGTGTGGGAAGGAGGGAGCAGCTTGTGTGGGAGGGAGGGAGGCGTGCCAAGCTCTGCTCTGCTGCCTGTGTGGGGAGATTGTGGGTGGGATCCTGGATGCGGCTGTTGGTAGTGGTAGCTGGGAAGGGGGGGGGTGGTATGGGGGCAATTGGAGGAATTGGGGGAATTGGGTGAATTCGGTGAATTGGTTTAAGTCGGGGGAATAAGGAAAGTGGGGATTGTGGGGAGAGTGGGGGAAGGGGAATGAAATCCGTCCCCCAAGACCTTGATTCGCCCGTCCCCTGCATTTACACCACCCTCCTCCCTGTAGTTGTCTGTTCCGTTCTTTCCCACCCCACCCCACCCCCACCCCACTCCACCCCACTCGACGCCCTACCCCTCCTTCGTACACCCCTCATGGCTTGATTGACCTCGTTCGGTCTGTCTGACATCACACAAGCAGATCAGAGCACACACCTTCCTCCACCCGTTTCCTCTCTTGTCTCATATCTATCTTACGCTTCTTTTGTTGCAGGTGGTTCTTTTAAGAATCATCAGAAGTGTTTTTGCTCCTAATTTCTCCCTTCGCCTGCCCGCCTGCCTGCCTGCCTTCCGTCCCCCAATCCAGTGAAATGCACTTAACTCGCCCACTAACGCTCCCTCCTTTATTTCTTCCCCACCCCTTCTCCGCTCCTTACCCACTCCTTCCTTCCCCACTCCCCCTCTGCCCCATCCCCCCTCCCCCTTCTCCCCTTCCCCCGACTCCTGACCTCCTCTTCCCCCCTTCCCCTCCCCCATCCCCTCCCTCCTCCCCTCCCTTTTCCCCTCTCTCATCGCCCCTGCGGCCTGCAGGGACATGTGCACTGGTGCGGTGTGCCAGTGCAACGCATGGGTGTACTGCGGTAACAAGGAGCTCTGCAAGGATAACTATAGGCAGGTAGGAGAAGGCGGCAGGGAAGGTGGGAAGAGAGTGGGGGGGGGAGGGGGTAAGGAGGGAGAGAAGAGGGGAAAAAGGGGGGAATACGGGGGAAGGGGATGGAGTGGCTATAGGAAGGAAGAGGGGCGGGAAGGACGGTACGAAACACACAGGTTTTTTATTTCTTTTCAGAACTCCTAAGAAACGCGTCAAGGATGGATGGCTGTTTCACCTCACGACCTGCATTGCATGTGTGTGTACCCTCTGCTGCCTCGAATTGTACCTGCTGTTTCGAATCGTACCTCTTGTTTCTTGGAGTGTGGGTGAGATCTTTCCCCAGTGCACCTGTCTTGTCTCTCTCATTCTTGCTCTGAGACGCTACAAAAGTACAACTCTTGACAACTCACTCCTACGTTCCCTCCCCCCTGCTCGTCCCTGCAGTGCTGGCTGAAGCGGCAGGAAGACGTGTTGAAACCGGAGGTGTATGGCAACAACCTGACCACATCTTTTAACCCCTTCCCCCCCCCTTTCCCCACCCCCATCGCGCAGTGCTGGCTGAAGCGGCAGGAAGACGTGTTGAAGCCGGAGGTGTATGGCAACAACAACCCTGGCCACATCTCCAACCTTTCCCCTCCCTTCTCCCCTGCCCCTTGTTCCGCCCCGCCTCCTCCCCTGCAGTGCTGGCTGAAGCGGCAGGAAGACGTGTTGAAGCCGGAGGTGTATGGCAA